TTTTGTATTTTTAGTAGAGACGGGGTTTCACCATGTTGACCTGGATGGTCTCGATCTCTTGACCTCGTGATCCACCCGCCTCGGCCTCCCAAAGTGCTGGGATTACAGACTTGAGCCACCGCGCCCGGCCTCCGTCAGTTTTTCTTTACACTGTTGAATTAACTGCTGAAAGGCACTGATCTAGGATGCTCTGGGATGCCTGGGTTTGAAAGCCACGCATCCAACACCCACTGAATGTGAAACAGGGTGTCCCTAAGCAGCTTTCATTGCAATTAAAGAAGCTGTTTAAACTGGAGATTTACCTGCTTTTAATTGTTGCAACATTCTGGAATATTATACTTTTCTACATGCCCTGCTTGTGACACAAAACGTATATCAGAAAATACCTTAGCCATATTTTCTTTCAGTGAAGCTAATTAAACCAGAACATAAATTACATTGTAATTATTTCAGCCATTCTCATCTCTAAAAATCTTCCCTATGGAACATTTTTTTCTTATGTGAAAATGGAACAGAGATGTTGTTACAGAAACTGAGGATTTGGAGTTGTTGGGACCTGGCATGGTATGCAAGTTATTGGGTAGATCTATTTGAATGGCTGTATCTTTTATGCAAATTTCAGAATATTCGCTTCCATGTTCTTTTGAGGGAATGATAAGGCAGGCTAAAACATTGACAGTAACTTTGTAGATTACCTACCTTAATGAGTACTGATTAATAATGAATGTTTTAAATACAACCACATAAGGGAAATGGGGGGGAGCAAATTATTGTCATTTATGTTGGTTGCTTATTTTTTCTTGTAGCTCCTAAGGAAGCGGCACATTGGAAATGATATTGTAACAATCGTTTTCCAAGAGCCTGGAGCACAGCCGTTCAGCCCAAAAAACATCCGATCCCACTTCCAGCACGTTTTTGTCATCGTCAGGGTGCACAATCCCTGCTCTGACGGTGTCTGTTACAGGTGTGTATGGGTGTCACAGCAGGGGATCTATGGATGTTGGCTGGTTATCACACAGAGGCTCTATCCAGCTCTGTATTCTAAAGTGGCAATGGGAAATCTATTACTATTTCTTTTTGTCTTTAAACTGTGTGCGGATGACTGAATTCACATGATGACGTAATCTGGTGGCATTGACACTACCCAGGCATGTTGGTTAGACACCTGCCGTTTCCATTTGCACCTCCTCCTTAGGTGATGTCCTTCATCCATACCATCTGGTCACCAACCAACTAATTACTCATGCTGCTAATTATATTTTTCTTTTGGCATGCCAAGGGCAGAGAAGAACTATTATAATATATAGGGAAGAGAAGTTAATTTTTTGAAAAGCATTGTTATTAAAGAAGCCTAAATCATTGCCTCTAACTTACATGATTCACATTAGCACTCTGACTACAAGCTTAAAAGCACTTCTATACTTTATTTAGTGTTCAGTGACACTTGTTGATGTAGTCACATGAGTATCAGAATTCAGGCCTCTATCTGCAGAGACCTTTCTTTGTAAGAATACTGAAGAGTTAGGAGTTGAAGGGGATGGGGACCTGTAATGCTGGCTTGATATGGGTGGTGTGCGAGAATGTGTAAGGATAATGTTCTGGCATTTGTAAGATGTTTTTAATATATGTGTCAGTCCTTTCAAAATATGGACAATTTAGCACATCTTTCCATCCTAAAATGTTGCCTGCATGAAAAGTAACCAGTGCAGATTGACAGTTTGTGGGATCCACATTGTCTATTTCTAGAAGTAAAACAAATTAATCCTAGGAGTAGAGTAAGCATAGTTTAGAGAAAAAAACAAGTAGAGGTTATGTTGGTCTCCTGCTGGCTGTCACCTTCCTTGCACATATCCTAATAACTGCAATGGTTGAGCTCTTGTTATAAGCCCCACACTGTTCTAGACATCTTACATGTATATCCCATTTAATCTTTAAAACCTATGAGATGGGTACTGCTTTTATCTCCACTTCCAGATGTTGAAATTTAAGCCAGGTCACTTGCCTCAGGTTAGCTGGCTAGTGTTTTGAAGAGAATTAGGCAGGGATGCAGCCAGTCTGATTCTGGAGCCCAGTCTCTTATCTGTGCTGCTGTGCTGTCTCTCTCACATGCTGGGAAAGCTGAGTTTTGCACTCCTAGTTCCCAACACAGAGGCTGTTCCAGAACTTCTCAAGTGCTGAGCCTTGGTGAACACCCAAGACCAAGGACGTCTGTAGTTTCCTAGAGTTGGGGTAGAAACCCCAACAGTGGAGACCTAGATCTGAAGCCTCTTATCAAGGAAATAGTGTCTGAAAGCTGCTCTGGTTAGTTGTAGAATGAAAGCACAGAACAATCAGCTGTAATTGGAATGGATAACTGCTTGCATTTAGAAAATACTCTGAGCAGTTTAAACATGCTATGTGCTAGATTCATGCAAAGGATTTCACACCACTTCATACTTTTAGTAGAAAGCTAAACCCATTTTGAATGGGCACTACAAAGTTTGGGGAGTAGAAAGCTATGTAATTTCTTTTAAAGAAAGTTTCTTCTTTTCAAGCCCATGTCTAAATCAGTACTGTCCAATGGGACTATAATGCAAACTGCATATTAATTTTATACTTTCTAATAGCCAGATTTTTTTTAAAAGTGCCAAGATATAGATGAAATTAATATTGACGCTGTTTTTGACCCATTTATACATTTTATTTACTTAATATATCTAAGTATTATTTCAACATTAATTTTTCCAGCATTTAACAATTACTGTGACATCTTACATGTTTTTTTTTTGACTAAGCCTTTGTAAGCTCAAGTACATTTTAGACTTACAGCATATCTCAGTTAGGAGGCTAAATTTTCATTGGTGATGCTTAATCTATATTTAGATTTCATAAAATTCACAATGGAAAAGGTAGATTTAATACACCCAGATTCTTCCAAATGTAACAGAAGTATCAGTTTTAAAATCATATATCGATTAATATTTAATATAATTTGATATTCCTTGTTCACACTAGCCACATTTCAAGTGCTCAGTAGCCACAGCTGGCCAGCTGCCGCTGTAATGGACCGCACAAGTCTAAACAGACTGCTGAGGGCAGGTGTGCTTGCCTTCGTCAGTGCTTTGCTTTTTTCTTTTTATCACCCCCTCCTGAAAGTTATGATTTTTACCTTCTCTCTCTTACTTTTAATCTGTTACCTGAGAGCCCATCTTTTTAACCCCATCGTGTAACACTAGGAGTCTTTGTGGGGAACGGCATACTGAACACCCCTGCTCAAGACATGTGAGCACGTCTGGAATTTCTTAGTTACCAGGCTTATTTGAAGGCCCAGCACACAGCTTTTAAGTGGTAAATTTTGACCTTTTTATAAATCCAAGAGAACATATCAGCTTGTAACATCACTGAAAGAAATCACAAGAGATTATAGAGTAGTGACCTTTGCCTATTGTAAACTTATAAAGATCAGTAATTTTTTTGGCATCCTTCTCAAGAGAGGCAGGCACCTCCTGGGTAGATGGTGATGTCAGGAAGTGTTTGAAGGCACAGAATAAATAGAGCACCTTTCTTCTAGTCTTTAATGTTGAGGGAGGGGTGAGGACGAGCTTATTTTCTCATGAAAATAAGTGTATTCTGAGGTGGAATGGAAAATATCAATTTTCAGAGAAAACATGGGTCTTCAAAGAATTTTTACAACAGTGAGTTTTTCTCAAACCCAGCCACTCTTCAAACTACTAGGGATATGAATTTATAGGCCTCTTTTATTAGGGGTGGTTTGGTGGATAAACTTAGACATGGATTGATTTATACTCATTTCATTTAAATCTAATTTAATTTTATCCCTAAGTGATACAGCTAGAGTAACTCAAATGCTTTTTTAATTTTTTATTTTTGTGAGTACATTGTAGGTACATATATTTTGGGGGTGCATGAGATGTTTTTATATAGGCATGCAGTGTATAATAATCACACCAGGGTAAATGGGGTATCCATCACCTCAAGCTGTTATCCTTTGTGTTACAAACAATCCAGTTATACTGTTATTTTTAAATTTGCAATTAAATTATTTTTAACTGTAAAAATAATTTTAAAAACTATAGTCATCCTGTTGTGCCAGCAAATACTAGGTTATATTCATTCTTTCTAACTATTTTTTGTACCTCAGGTGCTTTCTCCACCTCATTGAACACTCATATATTTACTTACTTACACCTACCTGGAATCTGAACTGTGGAAAGGGGAAAAGTTCCCTTGAAAGAGTGTCCTGCCGTGATAGTGCAGAGAGGTGTCAGGTCATTAGAGGCTGAAGTTACATGGATATTTATGAGAAGCTGGGATTTGGAGTGTGTGTGTTAAAGCATAAGTGGATGGAATTCAGTGGGAAAAAGAGAAATCATTCTAGGAGTGGTCAGTAGAAAGGATAGAAGCCTGGAGATGAGAAGGAGGATGGAAAGCACAATAGAAAGGCTACTAATGCAAAACAGATAACTAATGCAGGAAAGATAATGGGGGCCCCTGGTATGCTAGGCCATCAGTTCAACACTACGTAAGTGGAATTCTAGGAAAAATTATCCAGTGTTACCGTGCTAGGTAATCTGTATGCAGAAAGGTAAATTTGGTGACTGTCATTATTCATTTATTTTTTATCAGTTCTTTATCCAGCCCTTAGCATATATGTGCTAGACACTACTCTAGACGATGGGATATATCAGAACAAAGAGAGAAAAATCCCTATGGTGGATGCAGAGATGAGATCTCAAAATACTGTGGTATTATATCTCCCTGGAGACTAGAAAGCCTACATAGGAATAACTGCCTAATTCAGACTAATTCCAGAGGGCAATTAATGTGAGTCATCATGTAGCCAAGAACTCAGAAATTAGTCACTAAGTCTGCATGCTAAAGCTTATCCTATAACCGAAAAGGGAGCCCTCCAGTCTCCATTGTTTCATTTGTATCGTTGCAGTGACCTTAATTGTCTGATCCCAGTCAATAGAGAAGATTAGAAGCAACAAAATAAAAAAAGGTGAAGGGGCTGTTAATAGTGAGTGTATGCTGGAAACAAATATTTGTTTATAGATAGAGGAGATGCTGAAAAATTATTCGCATCAAAGATATGAATTCAATCAGCATGGCAGTCTGGGGTCATTTGATTTTGGACCAAAAAATCAAATACAGTAATCCCTCCCTTATCTGTCAGCGATATAGTCCAAGACCCCCAGACGAGGCCCAAAACCACAGATAGCACCTAACCCTGTATACAGTATGTTTTTTTCTATATGATAATGTTTAATTTATAAATTAGGCACAGTAAGATATTAACAGTAATTAATAAAATAGAACAGTTATAACAGTATACTTTAATAATAGTTATATGAATGTGGTGTCTCTCTCAAAATACCACCTTGTACTATACCAGGGCTAACTGAAGCCACAGAAAGCAAAACTGTAGATAAGGGGGCCTGTTGTATGCTTCAGTCAGTCCTGAGGGCTTCACTGTGAAAACATAGTATAGAATAATACCATTTTTCAACAACTAATGAATTAATGGATTTAAGCATTGATCACCAAAGGATGCAAATACCATAAAAAGAGACAAATGTGTGCTTCATAATGGAAGAATACAACCTCACCTATGAATTATTCTTGCCCCCCGCCAAAAAAAAATTAAATCTGAATCTCCTCAAGCTTCCAGACAAGCCAATTTATAGGAAATACAAAAGACAGAGGAACATATTTGTAGTTGACAAAATTCATACGCTGGATAACTGTGTAGACAAAAAGCCCAATTTCTTCAATAAATAAGTTGTAAGAAATAGTGAGAAAATGGAGGGGAATCTGTAGAATAAAACATTTTTTTAAAGCTAAACTAATTGCAATGTGTGGACCCTATTTAGATGCCAGTTTAGAGAAAAAGACTCTAAAGAAGATCTTAGGACATCCTAAACATTTGTAAATCAGAACATTGACACACTATTTGATGAAATTAAATAATTTTTATCATTTTAAAACTAGAATAATAATAAGTAGTTATAACAATGACCCTGAGTCTTCAAAACAAATGTTAAATTGTGGTCAGTAGGTATGTTTAGGAAGGTAGAAATTTATGTTACTCCTCTCAGAGAGGTTTCCATACCTGGCAATTAAAATGTAATAACTGTTGAAAGGAATCGGTATGATGTAGTACAAAAAGCACTTTGAATTAGACCAAATTGTTACACTTCTTAGTGCAGTGGGAAGCTGCTTGACATCCACTTAAAATCCTGTAAGTAAAATGTCTAGCATAGGCAGAGAGGAAGTGTGATGCATGTCCATTAAATGTCTGTGTTCATCCTCTTTCCTCTCTTAAAAAAAAGAGAAAAAGAAAAGAATTTGCAAGCTTCAACTGAGAAGAAGAAAAATCCAAGAAGGTCAAGTGGTCAAAATTTCTCTAAGGTTTGTTTTAAGCCTCAGTTAATCATCATCCCTATTGTCCACTGCAGCTGACCTTTCTAAGAGTCTGATTACATCATTCATTGTACTTAAAAGCGTTGAGAGAAAAGTTCAGACTTTTGAGCATAGCTTACTACATGGGGGCCTTCAGGTCTGGCCTCCTGTCAGTCAGTCTCATCTACCATTCTGACACCTACCTCGCTCCTTTGGAGCCACTCACCACTCCTCAGAACAGCGTGCTCTGCCCCTCCACTCTTCACATGCTGCTCTTGGGCTGGAAGGCCGGCCTCCTCTCACACACTCCCCTGCCCCTACTTCATCTGATGAATTCTTGCTTTTCTTTTTTCTGAGAAGCCTCCCTGGACTTCCCAGGACTAAAGTCTCTTTCCTAAGTGCTACCAGCAGCACCCTGTACTTCTCAAGTAGAAGACTCAAACCACTGGCTGTGGCTCCCACCAGACTTTGAGTTTCTGGAGGGCTAAGCCCAGGACATCCTCACCCTTTATCCTCAACAAGAGCACAGTGCCTAGCGCATAGTAGGTGCTCAGTGACTGGTGGATCAATATTATTAGAAATCAAGAGAATGATTGGCACATGTTTGATCTTTCCTGCCCTTTGCCCAGATCTGCTTTCTTGGAAGCTTCCCTGGCCAGTTAATCTGATCCAGGCTCCAAGAAGAGGAGACTTCCCTCTACCATTTGATGTTTTCTTTGTTACCTTCCTTTTAAATTTTAGGCTGGGGATTGTTGGTTATTGCTGGTCTTCCGTGGTGCTTCCAAAGTTAAAATGTCATTTTTCTCACTTTTTATCCACTAAACTTCTGTTTAGAAGTCTTTGGGATGTTTTTATGTGTAAGCTTGAAGTTTGCCATAGGTATAAAGACCTGTTACTTTATCCAAGCTGTTTGATGCCAACCAACGTTACATGGCCCATATCAACTAGAAACAGCCTCATCGTCTCTTTGGCCACGTAACCCATGGGGATGGCCCGTTTTAGCAGGCACCTCGGGAGTAGAAGGTTTCAAAGCACTTCCTCAGAGGGAGTAAGTGTGGGTTTGTCATGGAGCATTCTCTTGGCTGTCCAGAAGCTTACATTCCAATCCTGGCTCTCTCTGACAAGTCTGGGCAAATCCTTTTACTTCTCTGCATCTGTTTCCTGGAGAAGTGAAGAATTTATACCAGCTGCTCAACCGGAGGTTCGGGAAGATGCCAAACCACAGAATAAAAACAAGACACCTTCCTGGTCCCTCAGTGTACCCAGAGACTTTGGAGTGAGAAGATATTTTTATGTTGAAACGAACACAAATATTTTTCAGTGGAATATAAAATTGGGGTGAATTTTCAGATGAAACCCAAGATTTTATTGGAAGAATTTGAGGAACAATTGAGTTCTCTAAGTTCTCTTCCCGTGATAACTTTCCATCACTGTTGTAGCCTCTGAATTCTGTCATCTAGATAATCCTCTTGAGTAGAACGTTCCAGTCTTCAACATGCTGGGTAAATAAAGCTTGGCTATGATTTTAAAGCATGTATTATTTCCAAGAAGGCACAGAATTGCCAACTAGGCTAACATAAGCATGGCCAAGCAGAGGCCCTTTGGAATCTGCTTTTAAAAATACCAAGAACCATTTATGATCTTAAGTAACTACATATAGCAAACTGAGATTCTAGAACGGCTTATTTTCTTACAGAGGCAAAAGTATTCTGTTTAGCTTAACCCAGGACTTATTATCAAGAGTTCAGAATTTGTGGCATCTAAATTAACAAGCTTTTAACTTCGTAGGAACCTTGCCAGTTTGATTTATCCAAAACAGAATTCTTTATTTGAAAAGAGCATTCCAGGGTATCGTCTTCCTCATCTTCTGTAAGGATTCTATTTCTGACTATGCAAAGCTGATTTCAGTGCCTGTATCATTTACCTCCCTACCACAGTGAATCATTGAAAATTATATGTTAAGGATTCGGTTCTTTTCCTCACAGTTCATTATAACTGCTTTAATTATTGGTAGGTTTTCAGTGTATGTTTGTCTAAAGTTCTATCAATTAATAAATGGATCTGTAGAAAGCCAGTTAAAGGGGCAAGTAGATGAAGGGTTCTTATAATCACACCTCTGCTGAGCATTTTGCTCTCCTTATTTAAAATAAAATCACAGATATTTTCTGAGAAAGAATAACAATTTGAGTGAAATTAGCAAATGAAAAATTGCAAATTTTAAAAGGAAAGATATTAAATATTTCTGGATTCTTATAGAATTCCACTTAGAAAAAATCTAGCAAACCTGGATTTCAGCATCTTTTGCTTGCCTTTAAGAGAAAAAAAATTAACATGATCAAATTAAAATTATACAGCTGTCAGTGTTCAAGTCAGGCAGTTCACAATAGATAAGAAAATCTGCCTTCCTGATTCATAGTGGTATAATTAAGCCATATGGAAGTCTCTGAATTCTCTCCTCCAGTTAGAAAATGGAGTGTTGCTTGCCACCTTTCTTTGTCATGAAGTGAACTAAGTAGTCTGTTAAAAATATATTTGTGAATCCAACAAACAGGCCATCCCATGGCATCTTCTGAGCATGTAGCTTTTCCATTCCGCCAAAAATATAATTTGCATCCTGAGGTTGCTGATTTTTATTTTTCTTATTTTCACAAGAAATAACTATTTCTTGAAAAGCAGAGCTGAATATCTTAAAGCAAAACCCTTCATTAAAAAAAAGTGAAACAAAGCTCTTCAATTTTATTTGAAAGATGCATATTCTCTGATGATGCCATTTCTATTCCAAGAGTTCAGGAGAAACCATTTTTTTTATTGGTTCCCTAATACTAAGTATAATTGCATAATTTGCTGACTTTTAATTTGGAAGGAGGAATATTTGATGTGTTAGAATCATTATTTCCAGCCATGTCAAACTTCACTAAAATCTTGGAACATGATATAAAACACGCAACCTCTGTATTTCTATTTCAACAACTCCCTTTGTTGTTTTAGGAGAAGATTTTTCCCTTTTGAGGTTAAAAATAATAGGTTATTACAGATGTTCATATGATCCTTTTCTTAGGCCCAATTTTAAATATATATTCAGAAGAAATGACTGGAACAGGCTTTTTTATATCAATCTTGCTTAGAAGAATGGAAGAAGGAAAACATTTTTCTTACAAATAGACTGTCAGAATAAAATACCAAAAGGACCAAGGAATAGTTCAGTTTAAAGATATCATTTTAAAGCATTGTTGATATTACATAAAGATTATTCTCATACTATTACTCAGATTCCAATTTTCATTTTAAAATTATGCTTTTAATCTGGTTGCATAATGACTCACACTTAGGCCAAAAAATACTAGTTAAATTTCATTAAAATATAATTCATTTCTTTTATGGCATGCATCGTCTGGTATTTTCAGTATACGCTCTCTGCTTATAGACATCATATCTAAAATGAAGAACACATTTGTGTTCTCACAGAATACATGCTTGTTCTGAAAGATGATGTGGTTACAGTAACCCCCCATCCCCCAAAAATGATTAGTAGGATTTAAAATGTCTTATGCAGAATATTACAGTAAACCTATTTTTTTTTTCCATGAAGTTATGGTCAGTTTCCTATCTAGTAAAGAAAGTTAATAGCATAAGCTTTTGGGATTTGGGGAGGTTTGTTTTTTGCCTAGAAAAAATTTTATGTTGTATAAATCCTAAATGTGATTGAATGAAAAAATATGCTTCAATTAAGCAGAAATGTATGTTGTTTCTCATGGAAAAATAAGCAGCTAGTTTGCATCTGAGGTACGTCTCTGTCTTTGAGAAAGTATATTTTATTCTGATGATGTGAGACTGAGAAGTACTGACATGGCTCTCTTTGATCTTTGTCTCTCAGTGTGGCTGTTACCAGGTCCAGAGATGTGCCTTCCTTTGGGCCTCCTATTCCTAAAGGGGTCACTTTCCCTAAGTCAAATGTGTTCAGGGACTTCCTTTTGGCCAAAGTGATAAATGCAGAAAATGCTGCTCATAAATCAGAGAAGTTCCGGGCCATGGCAACTCGGACCCGCCAGGAATACCTGAAAGATCTGGCAGAAAAGAATGTCACCAACACCCCTATCGACCCTTCTGGCAAGTTTCCATTCATCTCTCTGGCTTCCAAGAAGAAGGAAAAGTCTAAGCCATACCCAGGAGCTGAGCTCAGCAGTATGGGGGCCATTGTGTGGGTAGTCCGGGCTAAAGACTACACCAAGGCCATGGAACTAGACTGCCTTTTAGGGATCTCCAATGAGTTCATTGTGCTCATTGAACAGGAAACAAAGAGCGTGGTCTTCAATTGTTCCTGTAGAGATGTGATAGGGTGGACTTCCACTGACACCAGCCTCAAAATCTTCTATGAACGAGGAGAATGTGTTTCAGTGGAGAGTTTTATTAACAACGAGGAGATCAAAGAGATTGTCAAAAGGTTGCAGGTGAGTCTTTCTTTCCACTTCCTTACATACCCTTTCTCTTTCATAAAGCTTTCAATACAGGCTAGAGCCAAGTTATTGAACCTTGCACTCTGTTATTAGCTCCTCTGAAAACTCGCTTGATGTGTGAAGCAAACAGAGTTTATCTCATGTTTGTGTTTTCCTTTTTTTTTTTTTTTTTTTTTTTTT